TCCGCCGGGGTCATACGTATTTCGCATAACGGCTCCCCCCTTTCAAATTCCTGGCTACGTCCCTGCCCGCATTTAAAAAGTTGCATACAAATAAAGAATGCTGCCTACCATTAAAACATGAGATGCTATCGAATCAAACAATCGTACGTCTTTCTGTGTCAGTTGGAATACTGACAATGCATTTCATAAAAGTAAGCCTATGATTCATTTTTTAGGGTGGCTCTTATAGCAAATGATAATATAATATAACGAATATTACATCTATTTGTTTGAAAATTGTACAAAGTAATGTTTATACATGGAGTACAGTAGGCCTATAAAAGCAATAATTTGTATAAATGTTTTTATTTAGATGCATAAATTTCTTTATCAAGAATTCTGTCAAATTCAAGCAGTTCACCAATAAATTACTTATTTTTATTACTCAGATAGTTCCGCTCTGATCTGTTTTCGTCCCACACAATACTGTACAATCTCAACATTACAATCACATTAACAATCACACTGCCTTCAACACCAACTGCCAGAGTGCTCAGGATTATTAATTATTATATTTTAAACATTATTAATTAATATATTACTACCTAGGCCCTTTCTCTATTTTAACACACTTAACACCATGCATCTCGGTCTGTAATCTTAAATTCTTATTTTAATCGTACCAATTTATATCACCTATCTCTCAGTTTCACAGTTATTTTAAGTAATTACCAATTTTAATTGTCATTTTATTAAAAATGTAATATCGATTTTAAAATTGATGTGATTGTAAGTGTCTTTTATATCTTTAATGTGTTTTTATGTTATAAGTGTTTCATTTTGTCAAAAAGAAAACAATGTTGGTCAATAAAAGTTATCTTATTAGCACAGGAAATGCCAACACAAAAACGACTTGGGCGAGATTTGGTGACATATTATTATAGCATAATGATTCTGCTCATTCGTGGAAATGAATCATTAAATAATACTTGTATAAGATAAATACATGTAGGTCTGGTAAATCGAGATCACCAAATTGCTTTCTGGAAGTTTAATGGAAATTTAATCTGAAGCCTATCTAGATATAATACTTTTGGGAAGCATTTTAAAATAATAATAATAAAGTTCTTAACCGTTCTGAATCAACAGAACAAGTGGCTGTCATTGACTACCACAGTAGTTGACAAGCTTCAACAGTACAAAACAAAAGAAGGACCCTAGAGGGAAAAAATATGTTAGCTGACCCTATATTTCACTTTCACGTTCCTTGTTTTTGTTTTCTATTTTAGTATTAGCTAACCGCCTTATCTTCTCTTTTACTTTCATTCTATGCTTCCTTAACTTTCCGTGATTCCTATTTACCTACCTTTTCTTTCTTTAGTCTCCCTTTTCCTTTTAATTACCTTTTCTTTCCTTTCCCCTTTCTTTCTAATTCCTCCTTATGCATTGCTTCTTTAGCTTAAATTACCTTTGTAATATTTCCTTATCTTTCTTCTTTTTCTTTGTTTCCTATGTAACCTTGATTTTTTCTTGTATTTTCTTTATTTCTTTTCTTTCCTTTTCATTTCTTATGCTTATTCATACATATCTCATTTTATTTTATCTTATCGTTTCTTTCATATCCTGATTCTTTCTTGTCCTTTTCTTTCTTTTTACCATTTCTTAGGTTGCTTTGAATAACCTTTCTTTTTCTTTCTTATAATTCGTGCTTTTCATTCCTTTTTCTTTCTCATATTTACTTTTCTTTTCTTTCATTTTCTTTCTTTTGGTTTTAGTTCTTTCTTTACTTTTCTTTCATTCTGTTTTTCTCACACCTTTCGTTGGTGTTCTTGAATATCCTTTCCTTTTCTTTCTTATGTTTCATTCTTTTCTTTCCTTTTTCTTTCTTATATTTTCTGTTCTTATCTTTCTTTCTTTATCCTTCCTTCCATATAATTAATTCCTTTCTTATAATTCCTTCTTCTCATTCTTTCCATTTCATTCTTATACCTTTTCATAGGTGCCCTTGAGTATCCTTTCATTTTCTTTCTTATGATTCGTTCTTTTCATTCCTTTTTTCCCCTTGTATTTACTTTTCTTTTCTTTTCTTTCGTTTTCTTTCTTCTCGTTGTAGTTCTTTCTTTTCTTTCCTTTCATTCTTTCTTTCTATTTTTTCATTCTCGTTGTAGTTCTTTCTTTTCTTTTCTTTCATTCTTTATTTCTATTTTTTCTTCTACCCTATCATAGGGGTCCTTGAAATCCTTTCCTTTTCTTTCTTATGTTTCGTTCTTTTCTTTCCTTTTTCTTTCTTATTTCTGTTTTATCTTTTCTTTCTTTATCTTTCTTTCATATAATTATTCCCTTTCTTTTCCTTTCTTAGGACAATTCATATGTTTATTTGCCTTTCCTTTCCTTTCTTAAGTTCCTTTCTATTCTTTCCTTTCTTTACTATATTATTTTACTTTTCCTTAACTTGTCCTTTGCTTTTCTTTGCCTCATTCTTTTCCCTTTTTTCTCTCTCTCTTTTCCGCTTTTTAGATTCCCTTAACTGTGACTTATAAAGAGGAATGAATCAATATCCACATGGAGACACCTGCATTAGGCCTACTCTGACCCTGTGACCATGGAGGTAATAGCCAATTCGTAGTTTGAACTGCGCATGCTCATAAACAAGCGTACAGCCAATGCACACAGCATGGGTTTATGTTGATTTACCTTGGATAGTGGCACTACGAATTGGCTTCACGGACCCCTATGCCTCAGTATTAGTCATTGTCCATATCCCAAAGATAAGATTATCGATAGAAGATGATTCGCCACGCGAACATGAAACAGTGGCGGATCGTGGAACGGTTGGGTTTAGGCACGAAATGTGTTATGTCTATAGCACTTCTGATGGCCGGAAATGGCACTGTCAGAAAAAAAAAAATGAAATTAGTTTTCCTTTATCCCAATTCATTTGAAATTTTGTAAAATTTAGAGCTATTCATGGTTGATATTCCACCAATAAGATTATGGATAGAAGATATGATTCGCCACATAAGAAGTACGCATTTAACAGTGGCGGATCCTGAGGGGGTGGGGGGGGGTAGAAATAAATTTTACAGATAATGGGTAGACACTACCTCAACCCCACCATGGCTGGGGTTGTGGTACTTTTAGATGGTCAGAAATATATAAGACACAAAAAGAATGTAATATTCACTTATTACCCATTTATTTTTAATTTTGTAAAATTTCGAGATTCCTCCTAAAAAAAAAAAAAAGAAGAGAAAATCAATATCCAGAAGCAATACAAGAGCAAACATGCAAACAAGTTTCTGAGGATTGCGACTATCAAGTGGCTCTCCTATACTAAACATTTTTACATAAAGCGTACATAAAAAAAAAACATAAAATATTCTATCAGATCACCAATTAAATATTGGAATTAACATAATAAAACAACTTACAGTGAACGAAGTCATGCATATGTCGAAGGTATTTTATTATTGACAAGGATGACTAGCAGTAAGATGTTTATCGCACTGTTGCAAGACAAGAAAAATAATGGTATCATGAAAAATTGGTAACGCGGACCTTCTGCGGACCCTTTTGACTTGGCGGACCCCCAATTATTCTTTCTTAATTAATGGATTTTTTATGGACCATAGTTAACGTTATTTTCAGACTCGATTTCTTGTTTTGATGAAAGGTTTAAATCTAGCACGCAGCTGTACGTTTAAATAGCGGTACATTGTACCTACGCACGTCTATGGCGTGCCATTAGAGCGAATTAAACGACCAGTTAAAAATCTTGTAAAAAGAAGGATTTACGGTAAAACACATGAGTACGTGATCTGCAATACGATTCAAAAACGTATCAAAGTAACCGTTGTTATCATGTGGTGAACTCTACAATTGTATATCTTTGCCTCTTGTACCCGTTTCTTTGCAGAACAGAATCACACACGGGCACATCGTTTTTCTTTTTTTCTAATGCGAAATTCATCATTTTCATCGACAGATAAAAATCAAAGCAATTATCATGCCTATTTGATTGTGACATCTCTCAATGTGGGCGGTACTGGTACCAATGACGATTTTTATTAATAATGGTTATCATTATAGGCCGCAGGATTCAAATTAATCCATAGATACAATCTAGCATATTGATCACATGGAAATGTTGACTGAACTCTATATAACCTTTGATGGATTTGGGTATGGAGAATCTTACAATAGAATCAACAATGAATGAATTAGATGAACCATTATATGGAAACGTGGGAGCACATATGTATTTAGTTTAAGCACCTGCTAAGCCTGAATGATGGAGCTGATCACGACTTATCAATCTGCATCACAAAATAACTACACTTCATCACACACTGTAACACAGTGACTATACCTTGAAACTGATTTATACTATGTTACTCAGTTGTAAAATTTTACTACTCAATACGCATTTAGTAAGAATGATGTAAAAACATTTTTTTTAAATTTAATATTTACTAAACATACATGAGTTATAGTTAATGTTTATTTCGGAAAATATTCTAAATCAAGTGACGTATAATTGTAAAAAAAAAAACGTCACTAGGGCTATATCAAAGCGGCTCTATATGCAAGTGAATAATAATAATAATAATAATAATAATAATAATAATAATAATAATAATAATAATGACGTTGACGATAATGATGATGGACGAACACGATGATGATGAGGATGATGATGATGATGATAATGATGATGATGATGATGATGATGATGATGATGGTGGTGGTGGTTGTAGTGGTGGTGATGATGATGATGATGATGAATTCATGACATCATAATGTTTGATCAAATATGAGATTAGAATTTTAGATCAAATAATCATATCAAAGTGTTATTACAGTAGATATTGTCATCAGATTAAAATGTTAGATCTGGTAATCATGAGATGAGAGTGTTTTAATGAGTACACAAATGTGGTAACCACTGTGTGTGCGATGAACCATGGAGATATACGGTCAAATCAACAGATAATGATGAGAATTAACTCCTAATCCAAAGTAGTTTTACTATCAAATCCATGATGAAATGGTGATTATAACTTCAAATGTAGTGACATGCATTACGTTCACAAAAAAAAAGTTTAAAAATCATGTCACTATCCAATCATAGTTGAGTCTTCACTGTTCCCTGGTTGAGTGCATTATTATTGAAAGTAAGAACAGAAGAAATTAGAGTACAGTAATTAAGTTTTCGCTTGATCGACATACAAACAATTAAAAAAAGGAAAGAAAATGGTATTAATTAGGCCTATGCTAAAAAAATGTTATCCTGATTTGTAAATTAAAGCTACACACCTATCAATTTAATATTTATTGTACTTTGTAATTTATTATTAGATATTATTATTATTATTATTATTATTATTATTATTATTATTATTATTATTATTATTATTATTATTATTATTTATTATTATTATTAGATATATTTTACTGTAAACATACCTACACCCCAAATCAACCAACACCAATTTCAGTCGAATTAATATTAATAGTAATATTAAATTGATCTCTTATATAGTGTAATATGCTAAAATCTTCTATGTGCTTCACACGACATAAAATTATTTTTAAAAGCCATGTCAAAATGGCACCACAAAGACTCAAAATTCCTATCTGTGAAAGGAAGAAGCAATATTTTGACATTGATTCTCTTCTTGACTGGCAGCCAACTACAGTAGTACTACTTTATGTTGAATTTGGATACATGTCAAACATTCTAGGCCTTTTGTTGTCTTCGATTAGATTGTGTTAATTTCAGTAATATAATCCCATCACAAGACAGCTAGTTTACCAGATGGTAACCGCCATCTATCGGCATAATGCAACCGGTAATCATAGCTGCATGTTCGGAGGCTAGAAATGCAACTGCTGCTGCAAGTTCGTCAAATTTAATTGGTCGTTTTTGAAGTACGTGCAGCTCTTTTGCAAAATCCACCACCTGCAAAAGAAAAAAAAATACCAATTGAAATAACACTCATGAATGTAAAGCAGCGTAAAGAGAAATGTATCCGTTAAAATGTCAGTACTGACGCTTCTCCTTTAGTTCACCAACATTTCCTATTTTCAAATTGAAATAGGAGAAAACATATTTGAATTTACTTTAATTAGTCGTTGCGTGAAAACCTACTGATCACTGTATTACCTGCATTATTAAAAACTAGTAGTACAGCTTGTTAAAGTGATGTAGAACATTGTTAAAAGTGAAACAGGTAGACTATTTATCTAAATGAATGGTACATGATACAACATAATCTCAATACCATGTAAGAGAAAAAAATAATGTCATTTCACACTATGTTTAATTCATTCGGCATACAACAACTTTTAATCCATTCTCCTGCAACAACCCACCCCTTACCACAGACTGGCATACAACTGGATATAATGCTTATATTTACCTGATCATGACTAAAACAAGCAGGATCAAATAGTTTGGTGACTACAACACCAGGGCTGCAAATATTAAAGTAGAAATATTTGGGTTTCTTAAATTGTATTTTAATATGCTTAAAACAAACTCTGAATATAAAATAATTCATGAAGATCAATACAGTAAATAAAAAACAAAACCAATCAGAAGACTACAAATTTAATCCGAATACCAGATTGTTTATTAATAATTAAAACAACATTAAATATTATTTCATTCCTTCGTAGGCCTAATAGAGGCAATATAAATGAATAACCTTTAACCTTTAAAAGTTGTACGACAATTATAGTGAAAATAAAATAATGCTCTTACTGTACAGAGTTTACTCTAATTCCATATTCGGCAAAAGCTGTCAAAATCGGAATTTAAAAAGAGAGATATAACAATATGGATTTTGATTCAACACATTATAATATTATAATACAACAACGTAAACCCCTTCTTTTTGACACCCCTATTTACAGGAACATTTTTCAGCCACGAAATGAGCGAAAGTATATCTTTTAACTCTATGGGGACACCCTTATTAAGGGGACACTTTTTTGCTCAATAATAGAGATTCTACTGTAGTTATTAATCATTACTTCATATTTAGGCGTTTGCCTAACACAACATGCTTTGTGCAGATTAGGATATTCCATTAGAAATTTTTTGTTTTATTACCTTTTGCTGTGTTCATAGTCAGTTGGTCCATACCAGCTTTTGATATTGTGTAAGCGCAATATTTATTCTAAAAAGAAATATACATTAATAATCATGAAAATCGTTTGCTGTTCATATACATACGTTTAAATTTCAATTTGTAATGAATGAATGCGGAACATATTCTTTCAGGAATTGGTATACTGTTTAAAAGAAACGTTGAATGCCAATGGTACGGGGCACCATTTGGGACATTGTTATATATGTCTTTAAACGGGCATTCGGTTGCTACAGAAATAACTATTTACACAGTATAGTTTGTCAGTAATAATTCTGTGATACATAATTATTTCGGTAGCAACAGAATGCCTATTTAAACTGTCGTCGTTCACCACAGGGGCTGTCTGTTTCAGTACACCGGGGTATCCCCCTTGTCTCGAAGGATGTACATACTGGACGCAGGCTTCCCGGAACGCCGCCCTCAGCGGCGAGTGCGAAGCACAACTCAGGGTCAAAAGTGGAACGTGAAATTTGGATATGGTTTCGTAGTCAGATTTGCGAGAAAAACTTCAGCTACCCGTATTTCTCGACTGAGACGTCAGTAGGAGCTGTAATTTGACTGAGACGTCAGTGGGAGCTGTAATTTGTATGGCAAGGAGATTGTGCAACCCTTCATTCGTATTAAGGGAATTTACGCCCAGAAACTTTGTAGTTATTAATATTTTGGTTATAATATTCATTTTTGGTGACGTCACACTCACATTAGTTAGCATGCATACGTCATAAGCTAGATACGTCACCTTTTCCTGGTAAGGCAAACTTTCCCGGCGTGCTTTTTTCATGGATAAACAAACACCACTGCNNNCAAACACCACTGCTTTGCACATGGATGCCTTGCCCAAGCCAGGGCTACAAGAGCCGCATTGTTAGCATTGTATAATACTTAAACAAGGTACCTCTGCAAATGAATTATTCTTAGTTATTTTTTATTTTTTTATTTTAACTTATTTCTTCCGAAAGTGTACTCTCTATCACATATAATTCCACTGTCTTAGTTAGGCCTAGACCTAGTCTTATGCCTCATCGTCCCCCGCTACACAGTACATCAGCAGCCCCTCCCCCATACAGTACAGACGTTTGCTAGGTAATAACGTGATTGCATCTTCCTTCCCAAGTGTTCATGTAACATTGGCATAATTGTTAGCTAACCAGTTATGTGTATTTATTTGTGAAAATGAGTACCGCGGCGTACTCATTTTCACAAAGCATTTGCATCCACTCTTGTAAAGAGCGATTCGAAATAATTGTCTCCATATCTTCGCTAATTAAATTAATCACCGTAATTTAGCTTACACTTATGAATTTAGGGAGCACTTAAAATGTGAAATAATCATTTCACTACCCGACAAACTCTGAACTTTATTCATTCATTAGGCATACATAATAGTTTCATATAGCCTGGGTTCCAAGCCCTAATTTTAGGTTACTTACTCTTTATTGCACTTAGTGCACGCCAAACCTAATTTAATTGGCTCGACTAGAACAAGCTTACCAGCTCCCTTTTGGCTACCTATACTTGAATTAAAACAGTTAGTATATAGTTCTGGCCTGCTGAGAATGACATGGACTGATAACCGGCTATACTTAGAAACCTTGCTTACCGCTAGCTGCTACACAGATTTAGGCCTTTAGGGTAGAATATTGTTAAAAAGGTAGGCTCCTGTAAGTAAGAACCTAAAAATAAGCCAAGCCTCTACTAGTCTAGGTTAGGCCTACTACTACTCCTGACTCCAGACGAGGCCTGAGCCATCCTCCTGGAAAGTTAAAGTTTTGTTGTATTTGTATGGTATGCCATCTAGTCTAATCTTGTTTTCGCCATTGCAAAAATTAGTCTTACTAGGGTCTATTCTAAATATTTTAGGCCCGTTTTATTAGGGAGGACTATTTAAATTTAGTCATGCCTAACTAGTCGACGCGAGTGACTCAGTTTCGTGGCTCCAAAAATATGAACATTGGTTAAAATAGTTTATTTCGGTCCGCCCATTTATCCAAATACGGAATATAAGATTACGTCATTCTTTTGGCATCCTGGTGCCTGATTTCAGTGTTTTACAAGTCGCTTATTCCGTCTGTCTCTAATAAATTAACTTTCTCGTTGGTGGCGCTGTCCAGAATGAGAAAAATAATAAAAATAAGAGAATTGTGGCAAGTCTAAGTTTCATATTGCTGTACTATATACTCCAACATCACTGGCGCATGGTAACTACCAACTGACTGCAGACCATTTCCGGTCACACATTACTCTCCATAACACAGCACCCCCTAGTTCTGTCCCCTCTGGGTTCTTTATAGTGCAGTGACGAGCCATTGTATACACTGGGCCACGGTTTATAGTCTTTATCCGGGAAGACTTGTTCTACCACCAGAACCATAGCGTGCCGTTCGAACCAGCACCGATATTATGGCTATAGCTTGCGGCGCCCCTGCCATTCCACTCTAGTGGGTATTTTCTGTGTGCAGCTCAGAGTTCTAAGTTATGTGGAGAGTGCTCAATTTTAATATCTCTTATTATTACAGCTTATTTATAGCTATTATTTATTGCTTTATCTCGCTTATTGTTTCAGTGTTTTTCATATGGCTATTGCAGTATATAAAAGTTTATTTTCATTGTCCAACTTTCCATTTATAAATGCCTGACTTTACGGTCTAATCGTCTATGTGACAGGCTAAGTACTGTTACGGCGATTAGGTCAGACACGTTCAATGGCTACTGAACCTCAACCACATCATTTGTTGTCTAGAAAAAAATAGAAAAATACTTACAGGTGTTAAGCTTACACAGGATGACACGTTGACAACATTACCTGTTAGATAAAATCCTGTATTTTGTAACTCCGTTTTGAATAAAATATACATTTACATTGTTTATTGCTTCAACTCAATTCTGTAATTGGCAGCTTTCGTTGCTGTACAAATTTTGAGCAAATAAAACAAAAATAAATAAATAAATACAACTAACATATCAAATGAAATTATCTGTTTTGGCTTTTACCACCTTTTCTTCATCTCATGCAAATTCCATTCAAAATTGTAATGTTGCCTATGTAGTAAAGTAATGAATCTGCCAATGGCGGCACCAGCGTCTGAAATCGTGTGGGGGTAGGATGTGAGTGACAAGGTAAAATTTTACCGGGAACGCTTCTAATGTGCTAGTTATTTTTACTTTATTACAAATATAAAAAGTTTGTTGAATGCATTGTTTTTAAGGGGACAATGGCTTTGAGTGACAGACAGACTGATCGGAGCAATTAATTTTGTTGGCCAATCTTGCAATATTATTTTTTTCCGGCAAAACTGTGGGGAGGGGGAAACTGGGAAGTGGGGAAGGGAAGAAAATCATCTGGAGGTAAATTACCCCTTGCATTCCCCCACCTCGTAGCGCCGCCATTGGAAAGTGCAATGTTAGATTAGTGTTTTTAGTGTTATACCTTTTGATTCTTTGAGAAACGGTAAGGCTGCCTGTGATGCAAAAAATGCCGATCTGAGATTGGTTGACATGATAAGATCGTAGTCCTCTAATGTGGTCTCAGCTATCTCCTTAAAACTTCCAACTCCGGCGTTGTTCACCTATCAACCGCCATAATTATATAAGAGCAATATCAAAATAATAATATCTAAAATAATAGTATTCAACCGCCATAATTATATAAGAGCAATATCAAAATAATAATATCTAAAATAATAGTATCAACAACTGTAGTAGGTTTATAACAAACCAAATGGTGTAATACTGTAGTATAACGATAACATAATGATACTAATGATATGTACTAGGTCCACTAAATAATATTAGTAGTAAGCTACTAGATTTCTCATTTCAAGGTGTCACGTTTTGTAAGGCGGGGTCAACAATGATGTAAAAGTTTATTTATGGAACTCCATTTTAGCACCTATTTTAACCTACAGTAACCAATGTGTTGACTTAAGCGACACATAACGTTGTATTGTAAGTTATCTGACTACCGTATACATTACTTTTAACATTGAATTAGACCTATGAAACAACAGACCTTCACAGTGAATTAACTAAACTTTAAACATCTATTGGAACGTAAGTCAGCAAAACAGTTTCAAATGTCAAAACAGCGTTTTGACACTATTTTTCAAAATTTCAGTGCAAATTAACGTTATGTATTGAAATAATAAAAAACTAGATTTAAACTCGTTACGTTGACCCTCAGAAAGCGCGCGCGGTGCTGATTGCAAAGTTTTATATGTTAAAATATGCTTTAATTAGTTTTTGTTTTTTTTAAAGAGTACCGTAATTTTTTCGAATTTTAAAAGATTTACACATTCGTACGCACACGTCTTGACACCCGGCACAAATGGCACGAAGAGTTGACTCCTGATATGAACACAGTGTCAGGAACCCAAACAAAATATGTAACAAAACGTATTTTCTAGCTTCATTACGTGCTGTGCGAGTGGAAATGAACGTCCGGCGCGTTAGTTATGGGAAGGTTTGGAAACCTGAAAATGACCTGAAACGTTCTTTAAATTATCTGAAAAGTGATATTGAGAATTTTCAAATTTTAACGCACGCGCACGTCACAATGTGTGCGTTTACGGTAATGGCACACGAAATTAAACATTGTCAAGTGTTTTTAAAACCGCCTGTTGGTTGGCAATGCCACACGAATTTTCCCTTCATATAACGTATCAGTCTGATAGATCGAAATACAGTCTGCCGCCCTCTTGTATTACTTTTAACATCTTTTAAGAAAGAGAGATAAAAGGGCTCCAAAAATTCATTTTTTGACCATGATCACGTTATCAAAATGAAAAATAAAGGGACACTTCCGAAATCGAATTGTCTCAGCTATAACATACTCACAGGATTGAGATAATCTAACAAGAATAAGCGAGATACGTTCAAATTAGTTTTAAAATAAAGACGTATTACAAAAGAAAATTCATTTCTTTTAAATTCAGATGACAATAATATTCCCATGTTATGATGACATCCGATCAGCGATAATGATCTATAAAATCATATATACAATTTATGTGCTTTCAGAATATGTAAGAAAAATTGGGGTTACCACTCATCGTAAGGAAATATAACTGATTAAAAATAGGCACAATTTTAAGCATACTCTATAAATGTTGACGTACGCGCACGTTAAGACGTGTGCTTAAAGGAAAATTGAGGTACCTGACATTCTACCTTGACCTGAAGTGTATGCCCATTAAATATGATTCAGAAATGACGAATAGTTAAGATGATTATGAGGTCTTTAATGTTTTGAGGAAAGAAAGATGAGGGGGGTCTGAAAAAACGTTAATTTTGACCATGATGACGTCATAAAAGTGTAAGAAAATGTCACATATATGAAAGAGGATTGTCTCAGCTATAACATACTCAAAGGTGGGAGACGATCGATCAAAGATAAGCGAGATACACTCAAATGCGTATTTTCAAAAATGACGTCATAGATAAAATTCAGTTTAAAAAAAATTCAGATGGCAATATGATGACGTCACAATGTCCGATCAGCCATAATGTTCCATAAAAGCATATTTACAACTCATGTGCCTTCAAAATATGTAATAAAAATTGGGGGTCACCCTTCATCCTAAGGAGCTATAACTGATTAAAAATAGGCATAATTTTAAGCATATAATAGATTTGAACTCGTCACTGAGGACGAGTTTGGTGATCCGCCGTACTTTGACCCTCAGAAAGCGCGCGCGGTGCTGATTGAAAAGTTTTATATGCTAAAATATGCTTTAATCAAGGCAATTCAACAGAAGGACGCACATTTCGGGACATCAGAGGCTACGTTCAGACCTGTGAGATACGCCAGGCGTATCTAACGCCAGGCGTACGTTAATCCATGGCGTAACTAGCGAGATTTCCAGACTGGGCGATTAATGAACGCTAGCGTAAGTATTCGCGCGAAATATTCGTATTCGTAATTCGCGCATTTTATTTTCTGTTTACATCTAGGTTTATTTTGATTGGTCAAATCTTGGCTGAGTTCAAAATCACCGATGCGTGAC